TCAGAACGAGCTGTTCTAAGATTCAGCTCTTTGTGACGTAGAAAGTGAGAAAGGGGTTTGATTGACAGTGTGGTTGTGGCATAGACCCCGCCCTCTGTGATCTGCACAGTGCACACCATCCTCCATTTTTTCAACTACAGCCGGTAATATCTCTTGGAAACATAAATGTTCAATCGTGGGTTAATCCTGTTGTTGTGGCTTAAAAGTTAATCCTCAAGTGTGGATCGCCGTCCACTATTTGCGATCCACCATCACCTCCAGTAACAGTAAGTGTATTTTATGAATTTTGAGCAAATAACTTAGTCTGTTCAGTCGATGTCAGCTAATTCAACAACAAATGCGTCTAAAGTTGTTGTCGTCGTCGTCCTAGAATGTCTGTTTATATAATTTAAACCTTGATTGTACAGTGTGTAACCGTACTTATATATATATATATATATATATATATATATACTGTATTTAAAGATATTGTATTAAAAACTGCATATATGTTGTTGTCCTGTAAGTTAGCCATCTCCTCACATTTGCCACAGAAGCACCTGTATGACAAGCTAAACATGACGCAACAGGTCCCAGTGTTTCCGCTACATTCATTCTCCCGTGGCGGGCCGCCACACTTAAAATCCTCCCGCCACGGTTGCAGCTTCTCAGTGACGTCCGATATTCTGCACAGTATGTTATTTTTTTAAGCCCCCACTAAAGGCATAAAAAACTTTGTAAAGCACAATCAAGTTTTCACCCTATATTCCAAGACTTCTAAAGTCATTGCATAATGTGTAATTTTAGTCGCTAAGTTAAAGTTAACGGAAAGTCATCTTGCCTCAGTCATTCTCCATTCAGCATTCATACAGCGCGTTCGGTTGCGACACGACGACACTCTCTTCAAGATCAATATTCCCATTATTATACTTTATTCGTAGATAAAGCATAAAGGTCTATGGTTGGCATAAAATGACTATCTTGCTGGAGTGGAGTTTATTGCCCTTTCTCACATTCCCTTCTCCCGGGTGTATGTGAGATTAGCCTACAGCATAGAGTCGAGAGAGTGCTATTGTTCTTCATGCGCACTGAAATTTAAAACTGTTAAAAAAAAAAGGCTCAAAAGACTGTTGCATATAGAATACACTAAGCATTAGTGCTGCAAGATTAATCATATCGCAGTCGTAATAGCGATCTCAAACCTATGCAATTATATAACTCAAAATGCCGCGATTTTATATGAAATAAACAAATTAGGGATATTAACGCAGCATCTCTTCTTTTTTGTCATCCTTTGACTAGTGTTACATGATCCCGCTCTTATTCGTGCAAATGCCTTTTCGCATATTGCACGACAAGAAGTGAAAAGCTGCCTGTGAATGCCCTAAATGAGACGCGCGCCATAATGCGCATGCACTGACCGCGTGCCAGAATACAGTTCTCTTTCGAGCTTGAACGAACAATAACACACAGAATTATGCCAAAATGTCGTTTTATCGAATATCTTCATAACATAAGAAAAGTCTATGGATGAAAAGAGTTGCGCTATGAAGCGCATGTGAGATCCGCGCCTCGGCAACGGGTTCTCTTAAATGGCCAGCAGCGAATAAAGCGTTCTGTCAGTAAAGTTAAAAGAACAAAGGGAAATTAGAAAAAAATACTCACTGATCTTGACTAAAGAACTTAGCTTTAATAAGGATTATTCTATATAATTTATAATTCATGCAGCGCAGACTGTTTAATAACTTAATTCAATTTCTGTATCCTGTTAAGACAGGAAGGGCACGGGTAAATATGGCATTTATTATGGGTTTATGTGGGGATAGTTTGAAGTTCACTTAATTTAAAAGCTGTTATTTTTTTTAAGCCTAATAATTTTTAAAAAAAGTTGATAGCTTTCAATTGTAATGATGGAATCACTGTAATGTTGGTTTGGTTGATGGTTTATTGATCATTATAGGTGTTATCAATCATTTAGTTGTTGTTTTTAGTTTGAGTTGAGAAATAAACATTAATACACAGAATGTCACTAATCTGTGTGTGCAATTTACTTTAGAACCAAGCAATGGACTCATGAAACCATTTTATTATATCGGAGTCGCATATCGCAATTGCAATATTGGCTCAATAATGGCAATGACATTTTCCCCAAATCGTCCAGCCCTACTAAGCATAGATTATAGATCTAATCCCTTCGCTATGTTCTTTTCAATGTGAAGCGTTGCGTGCTGTGACTTGGTGTTGCTTCAAGTGCATCATTCTGCACACGGGATGCGCATGATGGATTATAATACTTTGGGGAGACAAGGGGGCGTGGCCTAGGGGAATAACCCCCCCCCCCCGGGCCTGCCCCCACAGCTTGGAAAAATCCTACAGGAAACACTGGGTCCCATGTATAAATGTATTTCGCTTGTACATAGCAAACTTTATCACAGTATGTGTAAGTAGTTTCAAAAAAGCCAGCGTTAGCGCCAGCGTTAGTGTTTGTGTATGTCTGTGTGTGTGTGTGTTGCACATCCATAATTGCAAATGGGACGCGATTACAACTCTATAAGTACATAAATGTATCAAATAACCATATTGAGACGTACTGGTCCATTCTCATTTGTGTTTATTTTGCCGGAGTCTCTTCGTACTATTTATATATTCCGATTCAAACGTACGCTGAATGACATTCAAAACAGCGCGTCTCTCAGCCCGTCTGCTTAGAGTGACTGCCGATAGGTATCAAGTTACGCCCTCATCCAAAGCCAGGGCGGGGATATGCAGCTCATTTGCATTTAGGTGGTATACCTCCAAAACAGCTCATTTTTAAAGAGGCCCCAAAATGACATTTTCAAATGGTTATAATAAATGAGCTGTGGGGTATTTTGAGCTGAAACTTCACAAATACATTCTGGGGACACCTGAGACCAATATTACATCTTGTAAAAAGGGGCATAATAGGTGCCCTTTAATGCGGCACTATTTTCTATCCATTTCTATCAATCCGCGCTGCCGCAACGTCAACAGTGCGCACGTTCCGATCAGCTGTTAGCGCGCGACTCGCTGACAACATGTCTGACTGCGAAACTTATGATGATGAAACCAATTTTAGCACAATTTCAGACGTATCAGATGATGAAAGTAATTTTAGCACAACGACAAAGGGATACCTTTATGAACCAGAGTATACCGATGCCGAACTTTAGCAGAAGGAGATCGAACGGGAAGAGAGAGAGCGAGAGGACAGAGATGAGTTGTCCAAGTTGATGCTGGGCCCACAGCTGTAGCAAGAGCCAGGATAAACGACAAATGTGCACTTGTTCAAATTGTCAAGTTATGTCAAGACAGGTTGAAAGCTATTGCTGCCACGAATGGGAACTCATCATGCCACAGATGCAAAACCTATCGATTGACGAGGAGGCCAACTGTCTGCATTAGCTACATCCAATGACATTTTCCCTGCAATGCTAAATGCAGGTGTCCTGGAGACGTTCTTCTACGTACCTAAACTCAATTGAAAAAAGCGACCCAAACCAGCTGGACTTGACGGTCAGATGTCAGCTGAGTAAGTGTGATCGCTCATGTTGCTTTGTAGGTTTTTTTGTTTTTTTTTAGAATTTAACATTGTCTTGACCAGTTGGCTATCTGACTGCATTATTATTATTATTATACTGAGTGGACAGTAATACAATTATTAATAAATTAATAATTTTATTACTGTCTTGACACCAATGTCTCATCAGCTTGTTTACCGTAGAGTTTAGACATGGGATCATAAAGTTAGCTTACCCGTGGTAGCCTACTGGTAGCAAACAGCAAAACTCTTTAAAATCTTTTTTTTTTTCCTTTTCCTCCTTGGTTGGGGATGTAATCGTCTTCGCTGAAGTGAGCACACACACGAAAATCCTTTATTCTGGATATTTTAGCTCCTACAGAGTAGCCATGGCAACCAGCCAAAGCTGTCTCATAGTTATAGGCTATTAGAAACAGGAAAACGATGGAATCTGAACTTTGATCCCGGCACATCCTTGTGGTCACAGCCTGGGAATTTACAAGTTCGCACCATTGTTAATTTAATACTTTTTACCTAGTTGTCATTCAATTGTGTAAACACTATGGAACAGCTGATCGTAACGTGCGAACTGTTGACGTTGCGGCAGCGTGGATTGATAGAAATGGATAGAAAATAGTGCCGCATTAAAACTGAGGTATGAATTTTGACCGGCGTGTTTTTGTGTGGTAAATTAATCAAGCTTTGAAACGCAAATCATTTTTTCACGTAAAAACGTACAGTTTTGTGGCCCCGGAAAATAGCCGGGAGTACTTCATTGAAAAACTTCCAGCGGTCAGATCTCTGACCAGGGGGTGACAACAGAGTGGGTCAGTGTGTGTGCACTATAGTGCTGGTAAGGATTGCATACAACTTCATGTCTTAAATGGGCGAACTAACCCTTTAAGTCCTCCCTATGGGTAGGCGTACTGCGGCATATTCCTCCCGGGATATGCTGCCCAGTGTACCTTGGTATTCCTGTGATGAAGTAGGACTACTTGTCCGTAGCTAAGTGCGACAGGAGTTCAGTCTTTCGCAGGGCACTGGAAGACAGCTGTGAAGGTGGCGCGATGGCACAGACCCCCATTCTCCATCATCCGACGTAACTCGGAGTGACTACGAAAGGGAACGTCTCGGTTACGGATGTAACCCTCGTTCCCTGAGTAGGGTCAATGATTTAATAAAACAAATTAATGATTGTCCGTCAATCTCTACAAAAGAGTATAGTTTTATCTTTTGTTTCCACTGGAAGAATGGAAGTGAAATGGGACAACATGCCCCATAGGTGAGGCACATCATAACACGACCATATGACAGATTAAAATGTTATCTGATCTAATCAGAAAAAATTTACAAGACAAAGTAAAATATTTTGTCAATAAAATACAATTATTAATTATTCATATAAAATAATAATGATTGCTGTATATTAATAGTAATTTCATAAAATATCAAATATAATAAGCATAACACAGAAGCGATATACCTGAGATCAGGCCGTTTGTCGCCACTCTTAAACTTTATTGGGCGATTCATTGCTCTATCCATTATCCGTCACTCTTCACAGACACACAGCTGGACTCTGGGTTTGAGCTCTTCTGCTGGACTGAACTGGAACAGAGAACAGATTCAGTTTGATCCTCTAGATTATTGTGTTCATTCTTTATGAGAGGAACCATATTAATATACATATTAGTGATGCACCGATGTGAAAATTGTGGCTGATACCGATAACCGATTTTAATAAATAAATTTGCCGATACTGATATTTACCGATGTCGATCGACGAGAACACTTTTGTGCGCAAAAAAACAACAAAAATAACGACTTTATTTCAACTATTCGTTTATTTCTCCCTCTGCGCGTGTCAGGTTACTAGTTTAATAGCGTAAGCTTCTGTTATTGTACGTCACACGCATCACACACACATGACCAGCGTCGGCCAATAGTGAGCCTAAGTGTGACGTAGCTCTACGCAATCACACTACGTTAACTGACTTACAGGCTCATGGAGAAGGAAGTGAATAGTTGAAATAAAGTCGTTATTTTTGTTGTTTTTTTCCGCACAAAAGTGTTCTTGTCGTTTGATAAACTTAAGATTGAGCCCCTGTAGTCACTTGGACTATTTTAACGATGTCTTTAATGACTTTTCGAGGACAGCAAGAGCCAGTCCCTCAAGAAGCCTATGGACTGTATGCAGGAGCGATCTTAATATCTTAAATATCTTAATTTGTGTTCCGAAGATGAACGAAGGTCTTACGGGGTTGGAACAACATGAGGGTGAGTAAATACTGACAGAATTTTCATTTTTGGGTGAACTAACCCTTTAAGGCATGTTTACATGTGTTTTAGCCAGCCTGTTCTCATCCTTTAGCGTCACATAGAACGCTATATGACAAAACGGCGCTATACTACACACATATGGAACCCTTTATCGTTAATATTCACGCGAACCCAAGGCGCCATAAATCCTTTCGCGTAATATGAGACTACCCTACCCTACCCCACACCTAAACCTAACCATCACAGCGCGTGTTATATTAACGATAACGGGTGCCATGTGCGTAGTATAGTGCCGTTTTGTCATATAGCGTTCTATATGACGCTAAAGGATGAGAATGCGTTGGTTTTAGCCAGGTTTTCGCCTGGAAGGCTCTATAGAAATCTGGCACCCTACTGTACGAAGTTATACTGACAGAGAGCGCACGTTCACAGACATCAGAATGAACGTGTTCACAGTAATGTTCATCAGGCAGTAATACAGTATGCTTATGAACGCGTTCATGCACTATCGTTCATTGAACACGTTCAGGCACAACACTGGGGAAGAGACACGTCTGCAGCGGCCCATAACAGTGCAGAAACGCGTTGGAGTTAGCGTGTATTGGCTAGTTACAGGTGCGTGCAATGACGTGCGGGTCGGATATATGTGACCTGGCCGTTCAGATTGAAGTCGCATTTCAAAATATCAGATACATATCGGATTTGGACCACATACCCAAGTGGCCTGGGTCACATTTGAAAAGATCGGATCTGTGTCGTTCAGACTGTCATGAAAAAATCAGATACAGGTCGCATGGGGCAAAAAAATCGGAATTAGGTCGTTTCAGCCTGCAGTGTGAACGTAGCCATAGTGTATTTGTCACAGGTCGGGGTGGGCTCCGGCGGGTCGCCCACCCCTAAACTGCAACACCGCCCGAGGAGCATACCGTGGAACACATGAGGCAGACAGGGTTAAAATAAATAACAATGTTTCTTTATTGGGTTCTAAAAAGTCTTTTTAAAAGTTGGCTTCGTGGTTCTTTTTTTTCTGGTGACAGTGGCTGAGCAGCAGAGGATTGGTAACAGCTTCCAGCTTCTCATTCGCTCACCGGCACAATGGTTCCTCCAGCTCTGAACAACAGTGGATCAGCAAAAGCTGATAGCTTCTCAATCGCTCACCAACTCTATGGTTACTCCAGCTCTGAACATCAGCCTAAATTTTGGTCCCAGCTTCGTCACCCGGTGACATCTCAAAAATATTCAGTCAACTCAATTCATTAATATGCGCAAGGGAGGAAGAGACTTTTTTTTTTTTACTTTTAACAACCCTTTATTCTACATAGTTAAAAAATGTAAATTAAACATTAAACCATCACAATCATATTTAACTTACACTTTCAAAAACATACACATTTTTATTCCATTCAATTATAAAACACTCAATAAATAAGTATTCATTACCAATTAAAACCCCATACTCATTCACTGTAACCAGTGCTTCCTTAACTCCCCATTTCCATCTAAAGAAAGGGACATTATTAACATGCTTGTAATATGTATATTCTATAACCACTCGTGCTTCCACTAAGGATCTGAAAACCGCCACCGTACAGATATCTCTTCCTGCATTTTTTTCCTGATGAGATTTCAAAATGGCTAATTTGGCTTGACCTATGACAAAATTAATAATTACACATTGTTCCCGTAAAGATTTACTAATAACAGCCCAAAATAAATAGACTATTAGTATACAGGAACCCTAATTTTGTTATTATTTTTCTCAACATTACAAAAATAGGATCAAGTCTAGGGCAGTCACAAAACATATGAAAAACAGTATCCAAAGCATCACAAAAAGGGCAGTTTGATGTAACATTTTCATTCACCCTTGCAGCAAACTGATTTGTAGCTAGGATACAATGGATTAATCTCCAATTAAGATCACCACATCTCTTAGAAATTGGAGGTTTATACAAAAGTCTCCAAGATGGAAAAATATCTTCAGATATAGAGAGATGAGATCTCCATTTAGTATCCACTTTTCCTTTCAATTGACCCACATGTAAAGTTTTAACACATATATGATACGATGTTTTTTTTTTTCACTATACAATCAAATAACAATTTTCCATAACCTTTTAATAAGGAAATAGAACCAGAATCATCAATGCCACATTCTTTAGGAAACACCTTTAACTGCGGAAAATTCAACCATTCAACACCATCCACCAAAACATGATCAACAAATTGAGCAAATGATAGAGGAATGGAGGATTTAAAAACCCTAACAAATCCTTCTATAAGTATAAGAAATCAATCCAACTTGATCCGCAAGTGACTGTGCATTTCTCCATTGGCCCCTACTTAAATCAATCAATCAAATCAATAACTTTAGTAACACCAGTTTTCAAAAATCTATTGATTAAGGATTGAGATACATTTAATGGAAGTTCAATAAGGGGATTTAAAAAATAGGTTCTTCCACACCATAATGCTCCTCAACAGTTCTTGATATTTCAAAACATTCCCATGATTTGAGCACTGAGACATAGAAACTAAAAGACATATCAGAAAACTTTTTAACAAAAGTTTTCTTCATTAGGAATAGTTGTTTGTCAATACCTATTCCACCAATATCTTTGAGATCTCCCAGAAAACACCCAGGGCACATCATTTGAACTATACAATAATTTCTGCAATGTTTGCATCCTCATTGCCATGATCTTTGACTCCAGATGTATAAGCCCTTGACCTCCCTCTGCCACTGGAAGATAAAGGACTCCTGGAGGAAGCCAATGACATCCATCCCAGAAAAAATTTACCAATGCTTTTTGAACACTTTTGAGCAAGTCTTTAGGAGGGTCTAGAACAGTAAACTTATGCCACAACATTGAGGCAATTAAGTTATTAATGACCAAGCATCTTCCTCTAAAAGAAAGCTGCGAAAGTAGCCATCTCCATCTCTGCAGTCTACCATTAACACGATCAACTAATCCCTCCCAATTCCTGTTTACATATAAATCATTCCCAAAATAAACTCCAAGCATTTTGAAACCATCCCTGCCCCATTTACATTGTTTTGGTAATTTTGGAGGTACAAAAGTTTGCCAATCCTTCAGGAAAAAGGATGTACATTTTTCCCAAATAATGCACGCAGATGATGCTTTTTGAAAATTATTTAAACAAGCTGTTAACCTGTTAATATCCTCAGATTTTTTTATAACTAACGTTACATCATCCGCATAAGCAGTGAGTTTAATGGGAGCAATTTCAGGGGAATCAAAAAGAGAAACACCACATAACTGTTTCCTCAGCATAACTAAAAGCGGCTCTATAGATATTGCATATAGAAGGCCTGATAAGGGGCAACCTTGCCTTATTCCTCTAGTTACTGAAAAAGATCCATTAAACTTACACATACTATGAATATCACTGTACAGCAGCTTAATACAAGATACAACGTATGGACCAAATCCAAAGGCTTCCAGAGTCTTATACAAGTATGGGTGGTCTACTCAGTCAAAAGCCTTCTCCTGGTCCAAAGAAAGCAAACCAATGTCCAGCTTGTTTCTTTTTGAAATTGTAATGATGTCTCTTACCAAAAATAAATCGTCAAAAATTGACCGTTTAGGAATGCAAAATGTTTGATCCACATGGATTATGGTTGCCATATGTTGTTTAAGTCTGTTAGTCAATGTTTTCGACAAGATTTTAAAATCTACACATAACAGTGAAACTGGTCTCCAGTTTTTTAGGCATCCAAGGTCTCCTTTTTTGGGGATCAATGTTAACATCGCTCTCCGGCAACTTAAAGGCAAAATCCCTCCATTAATGCATTCTAACAAGAAATCGAACAAATCTTGGCCCATTAGTTTTCAAAAGGATTTGAAAAATTCCACTGTCAGTCCATCCAACCCAGGTGACTTCCCGAGGCTCAGCTCCTGGACAGCCTGTGAAACCTCAGAGAAGGTTAATGGGTAGTCAAGCTTTATCCTTTCATCCTCTAAAATGTTTGGCAAATCCTGTAAAAATTGGTCCGTTGTTAAATCATCACACTGGTCAGAACAATACCAGTGTATTGTCCTCATAAAAAGAAAATGCATGAGACTAAATCTCTCGTTGATCAGTTGTCACTCGGCCATTTGGAAGTTTCAATTGATGAAATTGTTTTTGCTCCCTTGGCTTTTTTTTCCAGTCCGAAAAAAAAGTGGTGGGCATGTCCATTTCATTAAGTTGGGAAAATCTAGTTCTTAAAAAAGCAAATTTTCCTCTTTTCTCCAACAGATTTTTCAACAGAAGCTTGCTCTCTGTGGTGTGATCATCAGAAGTTAAGCCATCACGAACATTTC